ATCACCCTGTAATGGTTTTGCTTCTTCTAGAAAAATCCAAAGGCACAATAGGTCTGTCAGTGGACAAGGGAGAGGTTACTAGCACTTCACCTTGTCTTTTTTTTCCCCCTGCTGTCCAGAAGGCACAGCAGAGCTAGAAGGAGAAATAGGCTTATCATCAGTTGGAGAGTCCTCCCGAGGTGGAGGGGTCTTTTTACAGTGAGAAGCATGGGTCTAGGTAGGGAGTCCTTGGCACTTCACAGCGGTATTGGTGCTTAACAGGACTTGGAAAGGGCCTTTCCAGCATGGAGCCAAAGCAGTCTTTCGTTGATGGACTTTACGTAGACTCAGTCTCCTTGTTTCAATGAATGGCAGGACTGCTAGGGTCTTTGGGTAGTGCTGCTTTATCTGTGAGAAAAGTACCCTAACACATTTCATTAATGCCTGTCAGTGTTTTGCAGATTTTACAGCTGCTTGGGCACATTCAAGTCCCCCCTTTTCTTGATTGTCAGCCAAGTCTTAGCTGTAAACAGTGTCCTTGAATGGGGCCAGCGTCTTATCTTTGGACTGAGCTTGCTAGCTATTTTTTTCCAGTTAACTCTTTCTGTTCTTTTTCCTTCTCCCCTTCTTGGTTCTTTTAACCTACAAAGGAAACTTCCACTCTTCACTCATACACCTTTACCCAACAATGAACACATACACATTGCCTTTATACAGTACATTAGTCTTATTATTCAATGTATGCCATATATGCCCTTCCAGTAAAATAACTTATATACAGAGCTTTGGAGCAACAAACCAGGACAAGCACACCCACTTTTGAGGAGTCCACTTGGTACAACCTCTGGTATCCAATAGCTTTCCTCCCTCCCCAGCCCTCTGGCTAGAAATCTGAGGTAGCCAGAAGGATCCCATGTGCAATATAGGGAGTGGGTTAACCTTTCATGTCCTTGCCTCCAAAGACTATTGGTATGCAAATTTTAACAACAATTTTTTCAATTAAAAGATCTGGCCAATGAAGTTTCTTTTTCTTACTTAAGCAAATGTATTAGACTTTAATATATCACATTTTCCTGATTTTCCAAATGCTTTGTATTCTAAGTTGAATAAAACAAGTATCTGCTTTTTTGATTTAATCCTTCTATTTAATTTTGAACTAGACTGTCCTATAAAATATTAAACACAACAATTCTGGCCACAAGACAAACACCACAAGACAGAATAGAACACAGAAATGATTCCTATTGTGCCAGTAAATGCATGGTACATTGAATGCTGTTCAGCTGGCATCCGTTTTCTTTGATGATCTGAAAGACAAAAGAACAGAGGTCTACCCCTTCTGGGCAGTCAGTCATTGCTTAAAATATGTCCTTTATATACACACATACTCTTGTTGATTTCAGGCAAAACAGAGGAATTACCCATATTTCCTTGTATTTGTTTCATAGGCAGCCCAGGTTTCAGTGGCTTCTACCTTATCAGTTAGATAATTTGCATTAATACAGATGCTTTCTGGCTTGCTTCTGGATCCAAAGCTATCCACAGCTTAAAAACTCTTAACTTAAAAAAAAAAAAAAGGACACAATTAGCTTTCCCAGACTTTTGATGCCTTTTACTTCTAACTCCTGCTTTCAAATACACAGCGATCTGAAAAAGACAACACAACCTATATTGGCAGGTTTGCATTTCTTTTACCTCTGCTACAATATACACTGCACGTGTTCTGGGGAAAATGCACATTTCCTCCATAATTCAACTTCCACAACACTAGTCACATTAATTTCTACACAAGGTGTAACTGTTTCTTTTGTGCTTACAAAATCTCCATGCACCCCTAGTAAAGTGACAGCTCGATCACACAGAGCCAGGGGCACTGTCCTTCTCTCTCTTTATCAGATCTTTTATCTGCTATTTTGTTACCCAAAAACAAATTCAAATCTTTTATTCTCCTGGCTTTGACTACCCTGCTGCAGCCACAACCTTTGGTCTTTATTTAAAACATTTTAAATCTTGTAAAGCATTAAGTCACCTTAAGGTTTAAATGCTAAATACTATATTAAACAACACTAGATTCCTGTGTCTGGCACAAGTATTCTCGGTTTTGCAACTTTAAACAATACCAATTCATCTCAAACTTATAAAACACAGATTGTACACAGCAGGAGTGTTCTTCAGCAAATTTGACTAACTTAGTCATAGTCCAATAATTCCACTTAAATAACCTCTTGCCTGGATTACTTACAGACATTCCTACCAAGTTTCCGTGCTTGATTCCCTCTAGCAACTACAGAGTTAACTTTTCACTCTTTTCTTAAATCACTTGCTTGTCTCCCAAAACGACACCCAATCAACTCAGATTTTACCATTCCAATTATTGTCCTGGGGATTTGAAATCCCCATGCTTATAATTACTTGCTCCTTTCCTTCCACTATGCCCTCAAAGTTTCCAACCTGTTTTCCAATCTCTCTATCTGTTGCCTGCCCGTTTGGGCCGATCCTGCTTTTCTCGCTGAACCGTCACTTCCATGGGCACCAGCTTTGTTCCAACTACCAATTTAGCTAGGAGGGTGGGCTTCTCAACTAGCCCCCACGCTTCCTGGTCTCTTCCCTTACACATTCTTACTCACAAGGCTACCCGAGTCCTCCCTCGTGAGGCTTGCCACCTAGGCAAAACGCATGGCCCATTGGCGTTTAACTATTCAATTCCTCTTGTGGCAAACACACTGCTGTTACGGCGTATGCTGAGCACAAATGGTTAAATTTTGACAAGTCCCTGAAGGACCAGTACTTGCTTAGCCAGTGTTTCCTTTTCTGCCTGGAAATCCTGTCTCAAGGCTTGCAACTTGCCCTGGGTGTAGGTTTGAGTTGCTGCCTGGTTCATGATCTATGCTCTTAATTGCTCAATTCTAGTTATCAAATACACAACTCTTCCCTTTTCTCCAACTTCTCTATTGCCCAATCCTGCTATGACTGGGGTAGATCCACCTGACACTCTTCCCGATCAACTGGGGTGGAGAAAGGAATGCTAAACCCCTCTCCGGTTCTCAGACTTACTGAGGCTGAGAGTGGGCACACCTTTAATCATACAATTCTCAACGTATAACACTAACAGTACCAAGCAAAGCAAACATAAAATAACAAGGGCAAAACAAATAGATGGTGTGCATTATGACTGAACTTTAAAGCTTCATTAATAAAATAATAAACCAACAACAGAGAGTGTTGGAAACACTCCCACATCACTCAGGGAAAAAAACATTAAGGCCCCAAGCTCTAAGCCACTTTCATACTCACACACGTACGTCCAGACTGGCCACGTCTGTGTATAACGTCCAGAGAAGGGGGAGAGGTGGACAGGAGATGATCCTGTATACAGCTTGTCCAGAATCTCCAACTTGTTTCCACTCTTGGGAGGGCTGTTCTTTTCACCCTGGGGTCTCCTGAGGCGTCTTTTTAGAGATTCAGTCCAGGCCGGCTGCCTGTGGCTTCTTCAGCGTCCCCAAACCACACCGGCTTCAGGGTCGCAAAGGCAGACTGTTGGATCTCACTGGACAGTTAAGCTTTGCAAATGTAATCTCAGTCCTGTAACTTGTATTGCCTTTGGTTTGCCTCTGTCTATATTTTTTCACAGCCAGCTGGGGCCGAAAGCAGTTTTTCTTTGTACTTAGCATGGTCTGCATTGATTTTTGACCTTGAAGGCAGAGCAACTTTCTTTTTATCTCTGGGCCAAGCTGAATTTCAAATTAACCCGTTCCTTTCCTCAATAGACAAATTGCTCCCATTGTGTCTCAGAGGCTTTTTTTTTTTGGTGATTAAAAGCTCCTCTGAGATATATGATCTTATCTAGATTGAAGGTACCTTCTAGTGGGCATTGTTTAGGTGGATTTGCACGCGTGTAATGATTCCAATTCTCTAAATACCTGCAGGTTTTAGGACCATAATGTACGTACATAAAATAAGCTGGGGTACCCTTAGGGGGTGAGAGGGAATGCTTAGACTCTCCCCCACCCATTTTCCAGTCACACACACAGGGAGGATGCCCTGTCCGTGCTAGCAGCTCAGAAACTAAGGATCTCTCCCTACAGGGTACTCAAACTGGAGAGGCTAACAAGGATGGCCACGACTCTCCTACACCTCCCTTCAGCAAAGAGCATCGGCTAGTCTCAGAGAGATGGCGCCGCTCACTCTTGTTGCATCCAGTGAGATGATCAGACTGTCAGCGGCTCACACAGAGAGGAGAAGGGGAGGGAAGATGGGTTCACACACTCCTAGACCCAGGAAGCTTCCTCGCCGGACGATGCCAGGCCGAGTCAGCCTACCATGGGTCGGCTCTTCTATAGATCCTCTAGTTACCGGGCTTGCGTTAGAGTAGTTCTGGTCACAAGCCAAAGGACTTTGCAGAATACTCTGGGCGTCTTCCGGTAACTCTCATTCACACTGGTGTACACACATACACACACACACCCCGCAAGGCCTCTATTTCTAAATACCATGAGGCATCTGTACTTTATGTCCGGACTCAATACACTATGAGGTGGTAAAAACCCCTCAGCACCAGTGCATACCTAATGCATTTCCCTTATGCATAACCTTATTGGGGGTGGCCAAACTATAGTCCCCAGTACCGCTCTGCATCTGATCTTGCTGCACAGTCAATAAGTTCAGATGGCGTAAGCCCAACAGAGACAGACAGCCCCATGGACAGTCCTCCTCCGATACCCC